TTGAAACTTTGTCACAATAAACTTCAATCAATTCCCTACAGGTACTCAAAATTTGGCGCGCCTGCGGCGCGCCGTTTTTATGCTATGGCCCGGCGAAAAAAGTGGGGGCGTTTAACGCCCCCCCCCAGCAACTCGCGGGTTAAGCCCTTTAGCCTCGCAAGGGGTGATAAACAAAAAACAAAGCGTCCTTATTTGTAACAAAAGCGCCATAAAATGCAACTTTTTAATAGAGAAGTACAAAGTACTTTCCATAGGTGCAACAAGTACCGCTTCTCTCTTGCTAAAAAAAATGCGATTTGACAAACGGAAATGTGTGTTTTTGATCATATTTTATCCCGCGCCGGGCCGGGGGGTGTTTGAACACCCCTGCTGCCGCCGTTTTTGGCACACCTGTTTGTGCATCTTTTCCGCACATGTTGTAAAAATTTCAGACCCAGGTCACCGAAGGTCAGGTCACCAGGTCACGCCAAGTGACCTCACCTCTGAAAAATAGGAATGCTCGTCATAGCTACACCAACTGAACGATTGCCTTGAAACTTTCAGCGATTGATAAGAGTAACAGTATCTATAAAACGTATATCTCGGAATTTTGATACCGGTGACCTAAGGTCAGGTCAATTTTGCGGACTCTCCATTTTAAGTCAATGGGAGAAAATTGAAAAGCGTCTGTTTTGCACGAACGCCATTCTAGACACTCTCAAACATCGAGATGCAGATAAAATTGACACACTGAACCGGAAAATGGCAACTGTGACCTCTCGTTATGTCCCCGAGGTCATCTCAGGTCACGAATAGTTTTTAACCGGTTTTCGCTAATAATTTCTGATAGAGGCATGCTAGAGCGATGAAAACGCCTTATAGATGTGTTTGGCTCGACGTTGCGGATCGACTGATATGCAACATGACCTTTTCCGGCCAAGTCATGACCTTAACCCTCACCCTGGCAGGGCATTTTTCATAACACGGCCTGGCAGGGGGGGGGGGTCGATGCGACCCCTCTCGCGATTGGCTCCTATGGCACCTAGAAACACCAAATTTGGTAGTAGGTGGGCCCCCTTGAGTTCTCGCTCCTGTGCAAATTTGGTTGCTCTAGGTCAACATTTAGGGGGGGGGTTGGGGGTTATAAATGTAAAAAATTTGCTAAAACAGGCCAAAAGTTTGTCGCTTATTATTTTTTATCTAATTAAGATAGAGCAAAAACAAAAGCACCAGTGAACTCAGCACGTCAAGGCGCGTCGCATGATATACTTGTTTGCTTGCTTAAGTGTACTTTCAAAGTTAAGCACGTCTTAAGTACATCTTAAGACTTAAGAATGGTCTAAATGCTTAATGTTGCATATCATTCGACTCGGCTGTTTAAGAGGAACAGAATGATGCCATTTTGAAAGCTTTATCTTTATTATGTGACAAATTATTGGCACAAACGTCATTTGACCTCAGTTGACCTCATTTGACCTGACCCATGGATAAGTATACCAAACAAAGAAGCACGAAGTGACATAATGTTAAGTACTGTGGTTTCAAAGCACAAAAGTGCTAGAACGAAGCGGATATCTCCAGTAGTTTCCGAATTGAATATTTTCCCATAGGCTTAATATTACGATGTAATGACCTCTAACCAGACATGTGCTTGGATCCGGGAAAATGGATCTGAGATCCGATCCCATGGATCCCGATCCGAGATCTATTCGGATCATAGATCCAACCCCTCAATTTTGTCGAGAGATCTACTGGGATCATAGATCTGACCCTTCCATTTTGTCGATAGATCCACTCGGATCATAGATCTGGCTCCCCAATTTTGTCGACAGATCCACTGGGATCATAGCTCATAGGTGCTCAAAATGTTTACAACTTTCTTGCATAAGAAGTTATGAATACCAAGGTATGGTTAGAAACAAACAATCTTATACAAAGGCCATATTAGTAAAGGGCATCCAGTTACATTATACAGAATATAAAATAAAGGAGGCTCATGACAGTCACAACTCACAGCTTAAGTGAATTGAGTGACGTGCAGATTGTTAACATAACAACAGAAAAGTTTGCATTAACAAATAGGTAGGTAAGTAATGACTAATGAACAATACATTACTAGCTACCACATCAACATCACAATTCATGATAGAATCTACATAAGACAATCTTGCATTAGACAACCATGAAGCTTTCCAGCTATCAATTGATTGATAAACAATAAAAGATGACATTGGCACCTGTGGCTTGGCTAGGTAAAGGTATCAATTGAAACAAATATTTGATATAATAAACTGAGATATAAACAAAAGTATCAGTCTTGGTCTGGGGAAGCGAAATATCAATTGTAATGGCCTTGGATATATACCGTGATGATTATTCAGTCTCTAAATAAGACTGGTGACGTCATTTCGAATAACTAATGAGCCAAGTGCTCTACCTTCAAGTATACCTAATGAAAATAAAAAAAATCAAACTGGAAATTCATAAATCTGGAAGTACTTCAAAGGGAAGTTCGTTTTTCTCCGCCTCACACAATTTTACGATACGGTTGTTCGTGAATATCATCTTTGTAGCGTTGAATTTAATGACGTCTCCGCAAGCTGAAATGGTATTACATGACTCTGAGCCGCGTGTATATCAAATGTGAGACAATGTATTAGTGCAAATGACTTTAAAAAAATTACAATATCTTACGTCATTAGTCCAAAGGGCTTACAACGAGGAACCTTCTGGAATCAATATGGCATGAGTCAAAATAAGCTTTTTCATTGGTCAAACGATAATGACGTAATAAAACATGTGAGCTGTGAATTTCGTTTGTCTTTTTTGGGAGGCCCTGGCACCGTCATGGCACAATGCCAAAAGTAATCTGAAGTAGTTGATGCCTCTTTTTGAACTTGAAATTTTATTATGAAAGTATTAGAAGTTGGTTGCTATTCTTACTAAATCAAAATTGTGTTGCGCGTACCAATAGCTGATACGAACATTCTGGATTGGGTTTTCTTACCTGGTAGAATTAGTGGATTGCTGGATTATTTTGAGCAAAACTGACTTATTAGGCTTCCAGGTGAGGTTTGATTTCCCAACATCTGTCAGTACTGTTTGTTCATTGAATTAAAGTGGCTGTAGCTTGTTAATAAGATTGTCATCAGTGCTGTCATGTAAAAGTTATAATTGGTCACACAAAGTTGCAATGTGGACATGTTCTTGGTTTATTTTAAATGTACCTACGTACAAATGTTTGGAAGTTGTAAAGCATGCATCACACTTCTTTTTGCAACCAAGGAGAGGCGCTACACCCAGAGATGCTTTATCAAACCAAACCAAACCAAACCTAACCTTACCTACAACCTAAAACCTAGCATCTAAAACCTACAACCTACAACCTAACCTACAGCACCTCTCCTTGGTTGTAATAACAAGTGTGACACCTGGTTTACTACAACCAAATGTTCTTGATTCAAAATCAAATTTATTGATAATAATGATTACAACTGGTGTTAACCATGCCCACAAGTGACAATTCACAATTGTATTGCACTGTAAGGTGTAAAATTTTGTAGGATGGTTCCATTGGCTACATCTTGTCGTGAGATCCATACAGATCATAGGTCCTCCACAAATTTTTGCCCGCCGGATCCACAGAGATCATAGATCCGACCCCTACATTTTGTCCAGAGATCCATTCAGATCATAGATCCGACCCCTGAATTTTGTCGTGAGATCCACTTGGATCATAGATCCGACCCCTCCATTTTGTCGAGAGATCCGCTGAGATCATAGATCCAGCTCTCGGATCCATGCACATGTCTGCCTCTAACTGACCTCAGGTAAGTGACATGAAAAAACGAACTATATGTTATACAACTCGGTGAACTTAGCACATCCTGAAAGTTTGAAGGAAATCAGTCCAAAACTGTGAGTGGCACAGGTGCATAAAGAAAATTGAAATTTGACCATTACCTTGTACCAGTTTTTCTGACCTGGTGACCTGACCCAAGGTCACCCGGACCTGAAATTTTGAGGTCATATGTAAAAAGGTTGTCTCATAGGCTGTGCAAAATTTGGCGGCGCTGCGCGCCGCCGTTTTAACGCTATCTTTGAAAAACCTTGGGGGGGGGGGGGGAGAGGTCGCAACGACCTGCCAGGGCGAGGGTTAACCTGAGGTCAAATTTTAAAGTTGACCTTTCAAGGTCAAATTATAGTTCATTCGAAGCAACTCGACGAGAGGAACACGATGCTGGCAAAAGAAATGTCGTGGCTCTTTTGAGTCAAAAGTTATTGCCGAAAAACACTTTTCGTAAAAACGGCTACTTTTGGAGTTTTTGCCCTCTGGGGGCTAAACCGTTGACCTGAGGTCAAATCTGGGGACATATTATCGAAAGAGCGTTAAAAGAGCTATCAAATGCGCTTTTCTGCGGCGCTGTAGCTCTATTGGTTCCCGAGTTAGCCATTGGCAGTTTCCAAAATGTTGAAATAGCCAACATTTTACCTTTGGTGACCTCTGGTGACCTGACTTTTGACCTGACCTAAAAAATGGCTAGAGTGTTTTCGTCCTGATTTTGGTCATTCTTTCGAATGCCACTTACCGCGTGTCGCTACGTTTTCCAGGAGCCGAGTTAGAAGGGGGGTGTTCAGACCCCCCCCCCCCGGCCCGGCGCGGAAGTCGCGGAGCACCGGCCCGGCGCGGGTTATAGAAGCTACAGTAAAAATAGCATAACGCTTCATTAATTTTTTCTTTAAGAAATAAGAAAGGTAATATTCTCTCTTTAATTTTCTAGCCCGAAGCTCAGAGCCGATTTTTCAACGAGGTCATCCCAAAATAAGGGCTGAGTGCAAACTGGCGTAACATTTTTGACCGTCGTGAGCTTGTTTACACCAGTTCACACCGCACCTCTCCGGCTAATGTGTTTGAACAGGCCAGGCATACAGTAAGTAGTATAGCAGTGTTTGCAGGGGGCCTCGGCACGATGGAGCAGCGCGCGCACCTGACCCTAAAGCCGGGCGCTGTGCCGCGGCGGCTACCACCGCGACCCGTACCGTGTGCGCTGCTGCCGCAAGTGGAGAACGATGGAGCCGGTGGGCGCCTGGACGCCAGCGGAGTGAGCAGCGGGCGCCAGGACGCCGGTGATGAGGGCGGGCGCCGGAGCCCGGAGGCAGGCGGGCGCCGGGGCGCCGGCAGGCTCCGGACCGATGAAGTCTGTGGGCGCCGGGATGCGGCTGGGCGCGGGCGCCGTGACACCTACGGAGGAGGCGGACGCCGGGTCGCTGGCGAGCGCCGGGACGCTGGCGGAAACAGCGGACGCCGGGACACGGCAGTCTGTGGGTACCGGGTCGCTGGCGAGCGCCGGGACGCTGGCGGGAACAGCGGACGCCGGGACACGGCAGTCTGCGGGTACCGGGTCGCTGGCGAGCGCTGGGACGCTGGGGGGCGCCGGCGCGCTGGTAGGCGGCGGGACGCCAGCGGCGCCGGGAGGTCAGGACGGCGGGACGCCAGCGGCGCCGGGAGGTCAGGCCGGCGGGACGCCAGCTGCGCCGGAAGGTCAGGCCGGCGGGACACAAGCGGCGCCGGGAGGTCAGGCCGGCGGGACGCCAGCGGCGCCGGGAGGTCAGGCCGGCGGGACGCCAGCGGCGCCGGGAGGTCAGGCCGGCGGGACGCCAGCGGCGCCGGGAGGTCAGGCCGGCGGGACGCCAGCTGCGCCGGAAGGTCAGGCCGGCGGGACACAAGCGGCGCCGGGAGGTCAGACAGGCGGAACGCCGGCGGCGCCGGGAGGTCAGGCCGGCGGGACGCCAGCGGCGCCGGGAGGTCAGACAGGCGGGACGCCATCGGCGCCGGGAGACCAGTCCGGTGGGACTGCGGCGGCGCCGGGAGCCGGGTCCGTCGGGACCGCGGCGGCGCTGGGAGCCGGGTCCGTTGGGACTGCGGCGGCGCCGGGAGCCGGATCCGTCGGGACGGTGGCGGCGCTGGGAGCCGGGTCCGTCGGGACTGCGGCGGCGCCGGGAGCCGGATCCGTCGGGACGGTGGCGGCGCTGGGAGCCGGGTCCGTTGGGACTGCGGCGGCGCCGGGAGCCGGATCCGTCGGGACGGTGGCGGCGCTAGGAGCCGGGTCCGTCGGGACTGCGGCGGCGCCGGGAGCGGAGGCTGCAGCGGCTCAGATCGGACTGATCCGACGGAGCAGGTCCGGAATCAGCGGGAGGCGGCCGCTGGGACGGTCATGCCGGCGGCGCTCGGCGAGGCCGGTGCTGGCGCCAGCGGTGGTGCGAGGACGGCCGTGCGGGTGTCGCCCGGCGGTGCCGGCGGGGTCTCTAGCGAAGGCGCTAGGACGGCTGTACCGGTGGCGCTCGGCGGGGTCGGTGCCGGCGCCAGCGGAGGCGACGGAGAAGACAGCCGAGCGGTGACAGTCCTCGGGAGCAGTCAGACAGTCACCGAGTGCAGCGGCGGCACAGCGGACTGGCATCGGAACGACCGTACTCGTACGGGCGGCGGAGCGGTTGCGAGCAGTGCCGATAGGGCAGGTGAGGTGCGCGGCGACGCAGCGGACCGGTATCGGGCTGGTCGCCCTCGTGCGAGCGGTGGAGAGACGGTGAGCGAGGCCGAAGGAACAGGTCGCGCGCGGTGGCGCTACTGACGGACCGCCGGCAGCGGTGAGCGGTGCTGGTGGGACCGGCGGCGCACGCGGTAGCAAGCCTAACGCTTCGCCGGGAGTGGTGAGCGGCGCCGGTGGGACAGGACATGGCGCGCGCGGCGGCGATTGTAAAGGACCGCCGGCAGAGGTGCGGCGGCGGTTGTCCGTGCGTCACTCTCAGCCACCGAGGAGGTGGATAACTGAGATGTGATCGGGTGGGAAAATACGTGATTTTACGGAGATGTGATCGGGCGGAAGGATCGAGCGGAAGAATATGTGATTCCGTGTGTCAATAGGTGCCATCGATAAGGTGGATAACAGATGTGATTGGCCAGGGAAAGTGTGGGTCAATTTGTACCGCCGAGAAGGGTGATGACTGATTAGTTATTATCGTTTGGAAGTACAGATTGATAAGCAGTGTAAGGGCAGACGTGCGCGACTCTAAAGTCAGTGAATTTGTAGTTATGTTCGTATCGCACGGATGTGAGCGATGTCAGTGATCGCACTAAAATAGGCGGCAGTGTTGACGCTGTAAGTGACCGGACTGGATTTGACTAGTTTCTGGTGGCTCGCAGGTTGAGTAAGTTATGTTTGATAGTTCGATGTTCGAACTCAAATCCAGGGGGGCAGGGTGTTGTATCGTGAGCCTGGCTACGCGTAGTTCAGTTAGCGACCGCCAGGTGGAAACCGGCACCTCCTCTTCTCGAGCGGTCCGCCGCGTCTGCTGTCTCGCCGACCGCCGTCTGCCGGGCCGGGCGGGCGAGACACTCCGCGCTGCTGCACCGCTCCTGCCGCCGGAGGGCGCGCCCTCTCCGGCGCCGAGTCCGCCCTGTACGTCGGACAGTCCCGCCGCCAGTGTCCCCGGCCTCCGCAGCCGAAGCACGAGCCCGGTCCCGGGCGCTCGGCCGGCCTGGCCGTCTCCGCCCGCCGCTGGCGTCTCACCACCTGGACTGCCTCCCCGTCCGTCGCAGCCGGCACCGGCGCCCCTGACAACCGAGTCGTCAGGTCCATGACGTCCCGGTGGGCGCGTGCCGTCCGCCGGACATCCTCCAGGTTGAGTTCGTCGCCCTTCAGTGCCGCTTCCCTCACCAGCTTCCGCTGCAGCTCGCCTCGGCTGCCCAGGACGCAGCGGTCTCGCAGCTCCCGGTTCACCTGCGCCGGCTCGTAGCCGCAGCGCAGGATTTGGGTCCGTAGCCTGGCCAGGAAGTCCTCCAGGCTTTCCTCCGGCTCCATTGTCATTCCTTGGAATTTCCCTCGTTCAGCCACGACGTTATTCCTTGGCACCAGGTACCGTACCAACTTCCTTTTTAGCCGGGTGAACTCGTCTTCCTCCGGTCCTTCTGCCTCCTCTTCCGGCAGGGAGTCGCTGACATCGGCTATGTCAGGCCCCACCAGGTGTAGCAGCACGGCGCACCGTCTGGTAGGCCCTTGGATGTCCATAGCGACCATGTAGCGCTCCAACGCTCGCAGCCATTTCTCGAAGTCCGTGCCTGCCCGGTACGGCCCCGCAGACACCAGCTGCATGCCCGTTGGATCCATCACGCTGCCGTGCTCTCACCAGCGCGTCGTTCCTCCGGCCGGCCCGCCGCCGCTCCACCGGTCGGCCCGCCGCCGCTCCACCGGTCGGCTCGCCGCCGCTCCACCGGTCGGCCCGCCGCCGCTCCACCGGTCGGCCCGCCGCCGCTCCACCGGTCGGCCCGCCGCCGCTCCCCGGTCGGCCCGCCGCCGCTCCACCGGTCGGCCCGCCGCCGCTCCACCGGTCGGCCCGCCGCCGCTCCACCGGTCGGCCCGCCGCCGCTCCACCGGTCGGCCCGCCGCCGCTCCACCGGTCGGCCCGCCGCCGCTCCACCGGTCGGCCCGCCGCCGCTCCACCGGTCGGCCCGCCGCCGCTCCACCGGTCGGCCCGCCGCCGCTTCACCGTCGGCTCGCTCCGGGCGTCACCGCTCACACCGGCCGGTCACCGCACACGCCGGTCGGCCACCGCTCACGCCGGTCGGCCACCGCTCACGCCGACCGTCACCGCTCACCGCGCCGCCTTGCGCCCGTCTTGGCGCTGCCGGCTGCGGTTTCCCGCGCTTTACTCGACGGGGGCGTCACGTGGTAGTGACGTCACACACACGTCACCGCGCGCGCATGCGCACTCGTCCCGAACCGCCCGGCCGCGCGCCAGCTTCCCGCCGAATTATCCGCTTGGGGACCAGGCACCTCAAACCGCATTGAGGCCCTCTCCGCCGCACCAATCGGCCAATCACACGCGCTGCCACAGCTGCGCGTCACCCCCGGCCGACCAATCAGCGTGCAGCACGCCGACGCATGCGCCACGCACACCACACTGCCGAGGCATCATGGCCGCCACAAATGGCGATCACATGGAAATCCTGCCACGACCACGGCCGCCGCGCGACAGGCAGACTACCAGCAGCAGCGCGAAGATAAAAATACTATTACTGAACGGCTCTGGGAAAGAAAAATGGAAACCTAAGTTAAGACCAAGGTTTCCATTTTTTTCTTCCAGTGCAAGTTCAGTAAGATCCCTATACGTCACTATAGTAAGTTCCCTATACGTCGTTTAAAGGAAACGTTCACTTTTAACATGGGTTTTGAACTGAAATAGCAGTTTTGTGGCTTGCGCTGAGACTAGCACAAATCATAAGCTTTTACGGCCCAATGATCACCCTAAGCAAAGATATTCAATTTTCCGTTCCAAAAAGACTGTCTTATGCAGGAATGTGCTGTCTTATAAAGGAATGCAGTCACGTTATCATCAGCCAATCAGCATGCTCCTTACAGCCAATGCAGCATGCGTAGGTTTGAATTACGCAATGTGATTGGTCAACGCGTAATAAGCTTCCGCGTCAAAACATCATTCTACATAGAATATAGTTCTTCCTATAATAAAACATAGAAAATAATTGTTTTTACAGAAAGGTTTTATTTTATTTTCTGATCATTTTGAGCATAAGAAATCATAAATCCATAGCAAAATACTAATTTCAGGAAAGTGAACTATTTCCTTTAACCGACGTATGGGAAATACTTGGGAAATACGCCAAAACTGTAGTTCGTTGACCTGCATTTTATTAAAAAATCACCAGAACTGTAGGTCATCAACCCGTGCCGGAAAACAGTGCAGGAAACATCACGTGCGATGTTTACCGCACGGCTTGGATAATGCTAAAAGGATATCTCGGCTTATGGGAATATATATTACTGAACGGCTCTGGGAAAGAAAAATGGAAACCGAGGTCTTTAAAAAATTGTAGGCACGAGGCGTAGCCGAGTGCCGGAGATTTTTTGAAGACCGAGGCATGGATGAGATAATAATGGATTGGTGTCTTCGCAGTTTTTGGCGACATTGAGCTCAGGCCTGCCATCTAGCGGGAGAATTATCGTAAGTTAGGAGCAAGCCGAGTGAACGCCGCTGATTAGCATTGTGAGACACGGGAGTGTGGTGTAGTAGCAGGCTTGATGTGCAATTTTTCAAAAGCTTATGTCTTAATATGTCAACAAAAGCGAAGAAATTAATAAATTTATGTGCAAGGTCAGTAATAATATAAGCGGTTCCCTGTTATTTCCTCTTTAAATCGTGAAACAGGGAGTTATTGGAGACTTCGCCACCACGTGTCGTTTTTGCTATTTTCCACATGAGTCTTTACTTGGCCTAAATCAAACAAATTGTTCGATCAAAGAACAAAACGAACTTAAGTACTAATCTATAAGCCTAATGAAAAAGTTAAACGGAATTGCTAACGTCATTGTCGCTCAATATGTCATTCAAGACGCTCTATGAAAAGGACCCAACCAGTGCTGCGTAGTCGATGAAATTTCAGTGACTTTGGCTCCAACTCCAATTCCGGTATCCAAATATCGACTCCGACTCCTCCGGGCAGAACTGTCGATTCACAGACTCCGACTCTGACTCCAACTCTGCAGCCCTGGTAAGTCTGTGGAGTCGATGACTTTTCGGTGACGTTCGACTCACACTCCGACTACAGCTTTAAAAAATCAAGCGACCCTCGAGTCGGAACAGAACCGCTGGCTCTGACTACAACTCCGCAGCCCTGGCCCAAGATAGCGGCCTAAAACAACTTTGATGTGTGATCTTCTTCGTACATTGCTAATGTTATTTTAAACAAGGAGTGAAAAAGGGAGACGAAGATTTCACAAAGAAGGATCTCCTGTTGCGGATCAATCAGCTGCTGGAACAGAAAGGCATAAACACCACGCATCTCATTTCATCGTTTTCCTAACGACTCTGCACCAATGTAAGCACTGATCAATTCAGTGCGAGCATCGATGTGACATTTGTGTGCCAAGTTTGGGTGTTATCCGCCCAGCCGTTCTTGAGATATGCGGCACCCCGCACGTGCGCACGTGCAGTAGCACCCCCATGGTGACACATGGAAATGCATTGGCCACTGAGGGCAAACTATTGACGAATTTTTACTGTAATGGGCCCAGCCATTGCGGAGTTACTTTATGTGGAAAAATTTCGACACCCCTAAGTTGGCACGTGGCACGTGCGGTAACATTAACTAAGATGAAGAAAATCGGGCGAAATTCGGAGAAGAAGGAATAAGCCTACCAAATATGTATGACATACTGTCAAACTTGTGTACCATTGTGAGTAAATGACCATATAAAAGGTCGTATAAGCCGATGGGACTGGGCGTTTCAATACACACCGTCTTACCCATTTTATTTTCGTTATTACCTAAAGGCTGCTTGATGTTTTTGGCTTCAAAGCATTTAAGACATTCTTTGTCGTCTCAGGTCCAGTAAGAATACCTCCAACTCGTGGGAATATGCACTTCAAGCCAACTAACACACCACACCCACGTGTGTCATAATGCTGAGAGATGGCGTTCACTCGGCTTGCTCCTAACTTACGATAATTCTCTCGCTAGATGGCAGGCCTGATCCCAATGTCGCGGATCCCAATGTTAATTTCCACGAGACACCAATCCAGTGTTATATCATCCATGACCGAGGTTTCCATTTTTCTTCCCAGAGCAAGTTCAGTAAGATATTTGCCATACGTCGTTTAATATCTATTCAGAAACTCACAATTTAATTATTGAAATCAACTTTTTTAAGATTTTTATCAAAAAATCACCAGAACTGTAGGTCATCAACCCGTGCCGGAAAACAGTGCAGGAAAGATCACGTGCAAATGTTTCCCGCACGGCTAGGATAATGCTAAAGGGATATCTCGGCGTATGGGAAAGAAAGGAACCACGGAATATATAGTCTACGACATATATTCGTAGACTATAGTCGTAGACTATATATTTCGTGAAGGAACATAACTGTGACGGTTGTGATATTGTGTATAGCCCACTGCAGTGACGTGTTTCCGCTAATTTCCGGCAGGTGGCAGCAGCGCTGGCCTTCTCGCAGACGCACTCGGTGATTGGAGCGGCCATCGCATTCATCAGTGTGTTCATCATCCAAGAATCGCAAACAGAGAACAGTCACCTGTCAGTCGGTAAGCTGAACCTGGACTCGTGCACACCTGAAGCAATCCAAATTAAGCATAAAAAGACAGTTAACAAAATGCGCACTAGATAAAATAAATGCCTGATTTGCCTGATTTCTTTCCGTTTGTGTGTTGTAAAAAAAAAGAAGAAAACAATATCATAATACAACGAATAGCCTAACTGGTTAGCCATCATACTGGCAAAAATTGTGATGCAGTCAAAACTTCCTATTACGCTCCTGATGGCAACTTTTGTCTACAACGTAGGCATTCATAGACACAATTATTTATTGCTCAAAATGCACGCGGAACATTAAAACACTCTGATGTCGTTTTTTTTTTTTTGCACGGCTAGCTTCGTTGTTAGGTTAGTCCTATGATGAGTTCACACCGTTTCGAAAGTATTTTATCTTTGCAATGCATTTTATTTCACTTGAAGCCAGCGCATAGACTTTTTCCGACACGTATCACATGTACGATTACAACATATACCTCGGCATCGCCTGAACAGCACGTCCAAACAACGGACTAGTAATATCGGCACTGAAAGCACCCGCCTCCTCAGAAGCCGAGGAATATCGGATCGAAGGCGGGTCGCGACCTCTCGGAGAAATCAGCGACCTTGCGGCACCCCAGCCCTCCGAGCGACGCGAACCCGCTGGCGCAGCGATGCTGGAAGATGGTCCGATGTCCCAGCGGGTCCGCCGTCATGGGTGGTGGTGCCTCCTCGGTGGGAAACAGGATGGCGTTGTTTTGCCTGGATGGGAGGATGCTCCTTATTGGTCTTGTGACATTAGCAGAGTTCACTGGCTTCACTGGAGCCGAGTAGACCTGACTGAAGACGGTCCACAGGATGACGCACATGAAGCAGACATGGCGCACGCCCATGCTGAAGCCGGTGCGGGAGAGGTCGCTGAATGAAGTGACGAATGAGCTCGGGTCAGCTCTCTTCAGATGCTGTCTTTCGCTGCTGGCGAGACGCGGCAGCAGTAAACTGTCGACCTGCTATCCGCTACGGTAGTGGCTGTCCCTGCTGTTGTAGAGGCGGATATACTGCCACTCAGGGAGGGGTGCTGGGGGGGGGGTAGGGGGCTGCTTCGTGCACTCGCTCGGCAACGTCAGATGTCAGGCCACTCCCAGGTGACACCGCTGTCAGCACAGACAGACACTGGAGCCGGTCAGCCTCCAATGTCTTCCCGACCTCGGCTCAGTATTGTTTAACACGTCACTGGATCGATTTCGTTAGAAGTCACTGGCTACTGCCAGCACTGTCTGTAACGTCACTGGAGCGCAGTTGCCAGCACTGAATATGACGTCAACGCAGCGCTACTGTCAGCACTGTCTGCTACGTCACTGGAGCACTGCTATCGACACCGTGTATGGCGTCACTGGGGCGCCCCTCTGAACCTCTGAAGTCAGTGGCCGATCAGGTGTCGTGCAGGTCGGTTACTGTTCTGCAGTCTGCTCGCAACCTTCACGCTGTTTTCACGCTGCGGTTCTGAGTGCCGACTGAACGCACCTGTCACCTGCCGGTAGCGATAACGATTACACCACTTCCGAGAGTTATGAGTCGTGAACTTCAGGGAACACGGTCGTCTTCTCGGTGATGGGGAACAGTGACAATGGTGTGGCACGATCAAAATCAAAGCTAGGTGACACCGGACACACAACACGTCACTAAACTTAGCGACTCTCAGACTTCACTGTCAGATCAGCACACACACACTCACGATTCTCACTTCTCCGCGCAGTCACCGAACTGTATCTCGTGCTAGAACCCTTCGCTAACTGGAAGCCAAAAGGATGACGCCCAGCGCTGGACCCTGGGGTACGCCGTCTGCAGGTGGCTCGTTCTGGCATCGGCAGCCGTCCGTGGCCCTGCCGAGGTCAGGGGGGCTCCGAGTGCCAACTGCGCTATGGCTGCGGAACTGGCGACTGACACGGCGCGGCGCAGCTCCCGGCTCCGACTGTTTATCGGTATCGGACATTTCCGTCGGAGATCGGCGAGAGCACGTCCTGTGCGCCCCGGAGGCGCCGAATTTGGCATGTTTTTATCTCGGGAGGGAAACTGAGTCCAGGGAGCAGTGGAGAAGCGCCTGGCAGTCAGTCTATATTTAGAAGCAGTAGTCCATAACTCAGGGAGCTTTATATGAGAGGCCTTGGCTCCTATAACGGGCACGCATGTATAAATGACGCTTCCGCTCCCCTCCTCCGCCCGCAAAGTACAGAACGCTTACGCTGTTCTCTGTTCAATGTTCAATGTGCAGCTGAGAAGACAGCTATTTCGAGTCACCACATTCCTTTCGCCGTTGCCCTGGCAGAGACGGGAGACCCCGTGCTGACACTCTGGGTCTGTTTTCTTGTCCCAACCACGCCGCCGCCACAGATGACTAGCGAAGAGCTGCAGACTGCCACAGAAGCAAATGCGTGGTCTTTACTTCTCTGGCTTTCACTGCTTCGCAAAGCCACGCACATCTGATTGACACAAGGCTGCGTTAACCTGCGCCCCGTAGGGGGGGGGCCGAAACGGCCCCCCCCCCCTGTCCTTTTCCGTCGATATCTCCTAAACGGCTGGAGATACCGCCACCAAATTTCAGGACCCCTCCGGGCATCACTTTTACACATTGTGACCAAAAAATTTTCCAGAGGCTATGATAGGTTGGCCACAAATGACGTCAGAATGACGTCATGTTCTGCCATTTTCGACCGAAAAAAGACCTTCGCGAGAAGAGCTGTCAGGCTTACAGCTTTGAAGATACAGAAAAATGATCAAGACATAAAAGGTGTAGAATTGACAGGGCTACAAAACTGCTATCTCGGATTTTAGAAGTTTTTGAGTTTTGACCCCCAAAAATCAAAAATGCAATTTTTTGGACATATTAGCCAAAAAATCCAAAAAGTTTTTTGAGTTTCGAAAAACCCGGAATATATGTAGTAGTACCTACCGTCTTCTATCCACATACCAAATTTCAGATCGATATCTCGTTTTTTTGCCAAGTTATAGCGAAAGAACTGTTCAAAAATGATGACGTCAAATTTTCAAACTCAATTTTTGGCAATTCTAGACCACGTAGGGTACAACAAAGACCACCATTGGACTCCCCGTGACGAGCTGCATCAAATCGATACCCATTTTATGCAAAAATATCAACTTTGAAATTTGACCTAATTTGACCTGACCTTGACCTGACCTTCACCAAAACGTGACCTAAGCTGGCCCCAGAGGCTGCCTGACCCACATAATCGCATTTGTCATGTAAAACGGACCATAAAACATGCATCACACGACACTTTCATATTGTGACCCCCAGTGACCTGACCTCTGTGACCTGACCTGGTATCAGTGACCTCAGATAGCGAAGTATGTGTTTGACGAACAATGTACCATCGATGGTTTACAATAACTTACCAATTTACTCGATTTCACAACACATTTCTTGAAATGCCTGTGAACGGTAAAAATCCGACCTTTGACCTGACCTGTGACGTCATCGGTTTGACCTAGGTCAATGCAATTTGGTCACAAGGTAGTTCCCCGGAGGGGCTATCGAACGCCGTTTGAATTTTGAAAATCGGCCGGTAAATTTCCGAGATCTTAGGGGGGGGCCGAAACGGCCCCCCCCCCCTACGGGTGGTAGGGTCCGCCGGTAGCCCTACGGGGCGCGGGTTAAGGATACTGCAACTCTTATGCAAACTTGCATGGTTTTCGTGCATAAATCATGTTTTCCGTGCCTAAGTATGTCTCGTGTATACAATCTGTACCTACATCTGTAGTACCTTTTCAATATTTAGGTACTGATATTCAATATTTAGCTACTGATAGTTTCAACAGCAAGTTAACCTAATTTTAGACAATGACGGAACTGTTCACTTTGACTGACAAAATCTTACGGGCAACGAACTCCAATCCTTGCGGAAGTGTTTCATGGGTCTCATGGGCCTCCGTAAAGCATCGCGTGTGTTTGCGTACACGTTTTACCTCAGTGTCGATCTAATGTGATTTTTCATGCTGATTCATAATACGTAAGAAAAATACAACTTGGTCGATATAACTCAATAGTTCAAATATTTCCTATAAATAAATATATTTTTATGTATTGGTTACAATATTTTTTTATAAATTGTATTTTTATATATTGGTTACAATACATTCCTTTACTTTTTTCCCTTCTTTACTTCCTTCCTTTACTTTTTATTTTACATTTTTAACAATAGCGGTTTTCATGACGGGTTATCTGGCAAATGCACCAAACTTGACCAAATTTGCACCAAATTACAACAATGTCATGAATTGTTGTCTTGTCAATGTCTTGATGTCATGAATTTATTTTATTATTTTTATCGAACATAATGACTGATAATTTGACATATCGGGGACATAAGCATTAAACAGCTGTGCAACCCAAGCTGCTAACTACTAAGAAAAACAATGAACCTAATTTGACCAAACCTGCCTCAAATCTGCATCAAATCTGCACCAAATATGAATCTAATGTGTACTAGATAGCCGTTGTGAAAACGGCTCATATAAATGCGTTTATGTAAAAGGTAAAACGTATCCCATTTATCTATGAGGTAGTGGCGGATCCAAGGGGGGGGTCATATGGGTCATGGCCCCCCTTGGGGCCCTTGTGGTGCCCCACGGGGGCACCACAGGCCTGCCAGGGCCACCACCGGCCTATCAATTCCCAGGGGCACCACAGGCCTGACAGGGGCACCACAGGCCCGCCAGAGGCACCTCCGGCCTCGCAGGGGCCAGGGACACCCCCGGCCTCACAGGGGCACCACCGGCCTCGCAGGGGCACCACCGACTTCGCAGGGCCCAGGGGCACCTTGGGCTTATCAGGGGCACTTCAGGTTTGTCAAGGGCACCACAGTCCTGCCAGGGCCGGGGGGCACCAGCGGCCTAGCAGGGGCACCACAGGCCCGCTAGGGGCACCACAGGCCTAGCAAGGGCACCGCGGGCCTGTCAGGGGCACCACGTGCCTGTCAGGGGCACCTCAGGCTTGTCAGGGCCCAGGGGCACCACAGTCCTTTCAGGGGCACCACAGGCCTGTCAGGGGCACCAGAGGTCTAGGAGGGGGACCACAGGCCAGCCAGGGGCACCACCGGCCTCGCAGGGGCACCGTGGGCCTGTCAGGGGCACCACTTGCCTGTCAGGGACACTTCAGGCTTGTCAGGGGGACCACAGTTCTGTCAAGGCCCAGGGGGGCAGGGGAAAAATAAAAAACATAAAAAAAACAGGAAAAAAAAAACTAAAAATAGGGCCCCACCAAAATTAAGTTGCCGAAATCCGTTGAGTTTTTAATTTTGGGTATAGGTAGGGGGCCCCACTTCGATTCATGACCCCCCCCCTTGGAGTTTTTCTGGATCCGCCCCTGCGACGAGGTATTTCCGTTTACCACCTGGCCTCCATTATGCCCCGCGCAACAGGCGAGGTCACGTGGGTGGTGTCGGGCCTGCCGATTGGTCTGGTGGTCGGAAACCTGCTGTCGACGGTGCTGACACCTATACTGGGCTACCGGCGCCTGGTTCAACTGGCCGCGCCCGTCAGCATCTGCAGCTGGCTGACGCTGGCGCTCAGCTTCGAGTTCCCGCTGCTTCTTGTCTCCAGGGTCAGTGGCATGGGGTCAGTGACCTGGTGAGGTCAGGTCAGTGACCTAGGGACAGAGACTTGGGGTGCACACATCAGGGTGTCCCAGAATTGATGGCGGTCTTCGAAAAGTTCGTTGACCTGAAGTTTGAATATTTTGCAGTGATGTATTTTTCAAAAAATAATGTGCAGTGGCATGCGTGCTTATTGTTGCACGTGCTGACCTACTTTCTAGCATATAAAAACTCGTCGAAATGTCTCTATTAAGCATTTCTAAAAATCAATGTCGCAAAGCCCTGAAGAGGTGTCCAGCATGCGCCGGGAGCACTCTTTGGCAGTGCGCTCCCGGGCCGTCGGCATGGTTATCGGCGGCATGAAGCCAGGGCAAGTCGCTCAAGACCTGGAGATTCCAAAGCGGTCGCTGGAACGTTGGCTTGCCCTTCGCCGTGCTGGCAAAAGGCTTGAGAACCAGGAAGGACGTGGTCGCAAGTCCACCATCACACGCATCGCCAAAATCGTCATCGCAAAGTCCGCCTTCAAGCGGGGGCACTCAACCAGAAAACTGTCCAACAAGCTTTCACAGCGAGGTCATCCGGTATCAAAGTCCTCTGTACACCGTTATTTGAGGACCTGTCTTGGTCTCAAGCCGCAGCTGCAGCCTAAGCTGTCCCCGGAACAGAGGCCCCGACGTCTGGAGTTCGCCAAACAGCACTCCAGCTGGACCATTGACGACTGGAGACGGGTCATTTTCAGCGACGAGTCGCCCTACCAGCTACACCACCCACCCAACCGCCAAAACGACCGAGTTTGGGCCCATGGCTCTTTTGACGTCATCCCAACGGAAACTGTCAGGCATCCGACCAAGGTCATGGTGTGGGGGCGCGATGAGCTTCCGGGGGCTGTCTGATCTGCACGTGGTCCCCCGCGACCAGACTGTCACCGCCAGCTACTACCAGGACAACATCCTTGAGACGGCTCTGAAGTCGGCGCTGAGCAGAACCCGTGAGAACGGCCCTCCGACAAAGGTCAAACTCCACCCTGACATGTCCAAGGTCATCTTCCAGCAAGACGGCGCCCCGGCTCACACCGCCGGCACGAGCCAGAAGTGATGCGAGGAGCACCTCCCGGACTTCTGGCGGAAGGAAGTGTGGCCACCCAACAGCCCGGACCTGTCTCCTATCGAAACCTCTGGGCCATCGTCCAGAACAAGATGGACGAGATACCAGCTGCGACCTCCAGGGACGGCCTGGTAGACAGCCTCAAGCTCGCCTGGAGGAAGATCCCGCGCGAGACGCTGGAACACCTGATCAGTGGCATGCCTGAGCGCATGTAGGCGTGTGTGAAGGAGAGGGGCGGATACATTGGTAAATAAACCGTGCCACCATGCCGACTGGTTTTTGCCACAGGGGCGATGATTTAGACCGCCATCAATTTGGGACACCCTGTTAGGGTACCTACAATGACCTGGGCGAAATTAGCTGGGAGTCAGTGACCTGGGGACCGCGTGGCGTGGCCTTGGGGTCAGAGACCTGGAGTCAGTGACTTTGAGGTGTCAGTGACCTGAAAGGATCAGTGAGCTGGGGATCATTGACCTTGAGATTTCAGTGAGTTGAAATGAAGCGGTCAGTAACCATTAGAGAACGGGGTTGGTCATTAGCTTTGCTCAAGTACCTAATTTCTCCCCAGATCGTCACTTATCTGTTCCCGTGTGAATTTCTCTGACCCTCCTGTAACCCGTGTGACTTGCTGTGACCCCGTGGGACTCGTGTGACCCTGTGACCAGTGTGACTCCGTGTGACCAGGTGACCCTGTGACCACGGTTCGTCGGAAACTCATCTCATCCACAAAAGAAACGAAATATACCATTTGAAAGCTGACGGTGAGCTGATTCCAAAAATGTATTTTTTATCGAAATCGTTCGATGGCCTTTTTCAAAAATTGCGTTTTTCTAAAAACGTAATAATTTTTATTCAACGAGCTGTCCAGGACAGTCTTGAAATCATAGGCATGTTTTTTCGTTTTCCAGTGAAAGCTGAATACCAAAGGAACAATATGCACCAATAAAATATTCTCAAATATTAATATGCGCCTCTCACAGCTGGCAACAAGGCGTAATCACACAACTGAGCGTCACGATGGATCAAGCTCAGCCACACAGAAGCGTGAAATGACCCTTATCGACTCGTAGACCTGGCGCTAGGCCCGTCTGACCGGCCAAGGAAGAAACGTCCGAGTCTCGTCCTGCTAAACAAGTGTTATATTTGTTTGTTTAACGATCCATATCGCTATCAAAGTTATTCAGGATATCTGTGAAGACAGTTCAATGTTCTGCTAGATTTACAACATGCTTTAATTTACATTTTCTTATACAGGTTTTGCTCCGTCCCGCTGCGCTCAATGCCTGCGCAGGGAAAGTTAGCGGGGTTTCACTGTCAGAGGCCGTACTAGTGACAGCTGTTCGGCCCTGCGACCGGTCAAAAGCTTGCCCCGCCCCGCCGGGCGCTACCCCCACTCCAGGCCAGCTGAGGCCGGTGCAACCTCTGACAGCTCAGCGCGGTCAGCTTTCCTGATGCCTAGCTGAGTTGAGCAAAGTAGACATAAACAAATGCAAATTCATACATGATGTGAAAATGACAGAGCAATGAATCTTGCTCTCAGGTATCCTGAACAACTGAAGTACCGATTTGAATCGTTAAACTAACAAATATGGCGTCCGTTTCGCAAGGCGACAGCCGAACGTCTCTTCCGTGGCCGGTCAGACGGGCCTAGCGCTGGGTCTGCGAGTCGATAAGGGTCATTTCACGCTTTTGTGTGACTTACTTTGATCCATCATGACACTGAGTTGTGTGATTGCGCCTTGTTGCCGGCTGTGAGAGACACATATTAATATTTGAGAATATTTTTTCGCTACATATTGTTCTTTCGGCATTCAGCTTTCACTGGAAAACGAAAAAACATGCCTATGATTTCAAGAATGTCCTGGACAGCTCGGTGAATAAAAAATTATCACGCTTTTACAAAAACGCAATTTCTGAAAAAAGGCCATCGAACGATATCGGTAAAAAAAAAACACATTTTTGGAATCAGCTCACCGTCAGCTTTCGAATGGTATATTTCGTTTCTTTTGTGGATGAAATAACTTTCTGACGAACCGTGTGACGTGTGTGCTCCGTGTGACCCGTGTTCAGGTGGTTCTCGGCGTGGCGCTCGGCGTCACTGACGGCCCGCTGTGCCCCGTGTGACCCGTGTGCCCCGTGTGACCCGTGTGCAGGTGGTTCTCGGCGTGGCGCTCGGCGTCACTGACGGCCCGGTGAGGGCCTACATCAGTGAGGTGACGTCCGAGCGCCTCCGGGGCCCGCTGGGCATGCTGCCCCACATCTGCATCACCATCAACATGCTGGTGGTCTACGGCGTCAGCTCCCAGGTCAGCCTGGGACAAGGGGGGCAGGATCAGCCTGATCCGGGGGAGAGGAGACAGAAGGGACGGGAGGGCGGTGGGAACTGTGTGAGAGTATGGGATGTAGGAAATGGAGATGATTATGCAAGAGGAGAGTTGAAAAATGGTCAATCAGATTGTCATAGTTCTGTTTTAACCCGCGCCCTGCTGGGGGGGGGGGTGTTTGAACACCCCCCCCCCTGTGGTTTTTCGCGGATATCTCAAAAACGGCGGCGCGGAGCGCCGCCGTTTTTGGTACACCTTATCACACATCAATTCCACACATAGTCTGAAAATTTCAGACCAAGGTCATTCAAGGTCAGGTCACCAGGTCACTTGAACTGACCTCACCTCATAAAAAGTTTCAATGTCTGCCATAGCTACACCGAGTGACCGATCGCTTTGAAACTTTCAGTGATTGCTAAGAGCAATAGCATGTACAAAATGTATATCTCAGAATTTTGATATCGATGACCTAAGGTCAGGTCAATTTTGCGACCTCCCCATTATAAGTCAATAGGAGAAAATTGAAAGGCGCTTTTTTGGATGAAAGCCATTATAAACACTCCTAAACACTGAATAACAAGTAACTAAGACACACTGAACATGAAATGGTATATGTGACCCCTGTTTATGCCCCTGAGGTCATCTCAGGTCACGGATGGTATCTAACAGTTTTTTCGCAAATAACTTTTGATAGAGGCATGCTAGAGCGATGAAAACGCCTTGGATGTGTTCAGCTCGACGATACGGATCGACTGATATGCAACATGACCCTTTCCGGTCAGGTCATGACCTTGACCTGAGGTCAAATTTTCAAGTTGACCTTTCAAGGTCAAGTTACAGTTCATTCGATGCGTCTTGCGGAGAGGAACACGATGCAGGTAAAAGTAGGCTCGTGCAAGGCTTGGGTCAAAAGTTATTGCAGAAAAACTGTTTTCGAAAAAAATCGGCTATTTTGGCAGTTTTTGCCCCCTGCAGGCAAAACCGTTGACGATAGGTCAAATCTGAGAGGATTACTTAGAAAGGGCGTTAATAGGGCTATCGAATGCGCTTTTCTGCGGTGCTGTAGCTCTATTGGTTCCCGAGTTATGCGTTGGCTTCTTGGAAATTGTCGACATTCGACCTGAAAATCGGCGAAATTTTGCCTTCAATGACCTCTGGTGACCTGACCTTTGACCTGACCAAAAAAGTCACCGAAGTGATTTCGTCATTATTTTTGGCGTTTTTTTTTCGAACGCCGCCTTCCGCGTATCGCTACGTGGCCCAGGAGCCGAGTTAGAAGGGGGGGGTGTTCAAACACCCCCCCCCAGCAGGGCGTGGAAATCCAGGACCCCCAGCCGGGCGCGGGTTAACATTTAACCCGCCCACCGACGGGGGTCTGCGCCAACTTCGCACCGACGGGGGGGGGGGGCGGATGACCGCCCCCCCCCCCTGAGATCTCGAGAACGAAGCAAGATAGCGACAAGCGGTAAACGGCATCGGATACGCACGGACAAGGTCTACAATTTTTACTTAGGTCATTTTCAGGTCAGGTCAAATATGACGTCACAGGGTTCGAAAAAGTCAAAATGGCGGCGCTAGATACGGAGAGAGTTTTTCTCGAATAACTTTCTAATTAGTCAAGATAGGAACAAACTAAGGGCATCATCGTGATCCTCTCGTCATTCCGCATCGAATGATATATATGTTGACCTCGAAAGGTCAAGATCAAAGGTTGACCTCAGGTCACGTGACCTCGAGGTCATCATGTATATCATTCGATGCGTCTTGACGAGCTGAACACAATGAGACCATCCGCGCGGCTGTATCTTGTTCCTGTACGGAGTTATTGGCAAAAAACCTTTGGTGACCTTTGATGACGTCACATGACCTTACAGCTGCCCAACAGCAAAACAGACCTCAAGGTAGTGAAGGTTGATCGTATATGAAGTCATGTATGGTATATGGGGCCATTCCGACCCGTTTTAGTGGTAAAAACAGGGAGTTGATTTTTCCCCCATTGACTTATAATGGGGAGGGCGCGAAATTGACCTGACCTTAGGTCACCGACATCAAAATTCCGAGATATACAAATTGTAGCTACTAATGACCTAATAACGTCCTGCGACTTTCAAAGGCCTCCGACATCTACTGTAGCTCTGGCACGGTGACAATGTTGCAAAAAAGTGACTTGAGGTTGGGTCATTCAAAGTGACCTGGTGACCTGACCTTAAAAGTTAGGAGGTTCAACCTTGCACACCATGTGTAAAATTAATGAGAGAATAGTCGTACCAAATTTCGCGGCGCTTCGCGCCGCGGTTTTCCCGCTATTTGCGAAAAACCTCAGGGGGGGGGCGGATATCCGCGCCCCCCCCCCCCGTCGGTGCGCGGGTTAACACAAAAACGTTGAAGTTAAATTTTGGAGCATGGATAATTAAATATTGGTGGAGCCTATCATCCAGTCCATACTGCGTTTCCTGTAGAAAAATGGACACAAGTTTGATGCCCGCTATCCTACTGCAAGGCAGTGCGTCAGCCCCTTACATTGACCGGTGCCTTATTACAGACCTCTTGGCGTAACGCAGTTCTGTTCTGCGGTATCGCGCCGTCAGTGCCGCAGTTTTTAGCCACACTAGTGCTGCCAGATGCTGCCAAATGGCTGCTGGCTCACGGCTACCCGGCAGAAGACGCCAGAAAATCTATACTCTTCTTTCGGTATGTGTCCATACTGTTTGCCAATATGAAGTTCTTTGTATTCAAACTTCGATCTTTAGAGCTTTTAGAGAATTTTCGTTTCATAGTGTAATGTCAAGAAGCCTTATATGATTGCAACAATATCCAACGTTTATCGACTGATTTTATTTCTTGTTAAAAATAAAAACTATAAGGAATGTCAAAACCAATCTGCATATTTCCTGCTATTTATCATCAAACGCTCGACCCTGAGCGTCATTTAGCGGCCTGCCGTCAGTAACAGACCAACTGTTTGCAGCGGCCATCCCGAGACGGCTGACCTCGAGGTCAAGGCCATCCTCTCCTCGCTGAAGGGCGACGTCAGCTCGCGCAGCCCGGTGCTAGTGCGCATGCGCGCTGTGCTGACTCAGAGTCGTCACCGGCGGCCATTCCTGCTGCTGCTCGTTCAGCTGTTTCTGTTTGTGTTCAACTCGGGAGAGGCTATCGCCAACTTCACAACGGTGAGCATGTGGGAATCGCTGTGTTGTTCTGCTTGCACGACTTTTTAGCAATTTACTTACGAAATATATTACATTACTTATACGGTATGCATGCATTCTGATTCATCTTGAGTTGCCTATATGTAAATGCTCTTCTGCGACACCGTCAAGTTGTATATATCTCTGATATCATATCTTAACCCGCGCCCGGCTGGGGGTCCTGGATTTCCACGCCCTGCTGGGGGGGGGGTGTTTGAACACCCCCCCCCCCTTCTAACTCGGCTCCTGGGCCACGTAGCGATACGCGGAAGGCGGCGTTCGAAAGAGCGTCAAAAATAATGACAAAATCACTTCGGTCAATTTTTTGGTCAGGTCAAAGGTCAGGTCACCAGAGGTCATTGAAGGCAAAATTTCGCCGATTTCCAGGTCGAATGTCAACAATTTCCAAGAAGCCAACGCATAACTCGGGAACCAATAGAGCTACAGCGCCGCGGAAAAGCGCATTCGATAGCCCTATTAACGCCCTTTCTGAATAATTCTCTCAGATTTGACCTAACGTCAACGGTTTTGCCTGCAGGGGGCAAAAACTGCAAAAATAGCCGATTTTTTTTCGGAAACAGTTTTTCTGCAATACCTTTTGACCAAAGCGTTGTACGAGCTTACTTTTACCGGCATCGTGTTCCTCTCGTCAAGACGCATCGAATGAACTATAACTTGACCTTGAAAGGTCAACATGAAAATTTGACCTCAGGTCAAGGTCATGACCTGACCGGAAAGGGTCATGTTGCATATCAGTCGATCCGTATCGTCGAGCTGAACACATCTAAGGCGTTTGCATCGCTCTAGCATGCCGGCTCTAATAAAAGTTATTTGCGAAAAACTGTTAAATACCATTCGTGACCTAAGATGACCTCAGGGCATAAACAGGGGTCACGGACACCATTTTCATGTTCAGTGTGTCTAAACCACTTGTAATTCAGTGTTTGGGAGTGTTTATAATGTCTTTCGTCCAAAGGAGGCGCATTTCAATTTTCTCCCATTGACTTATAATGGGGAGGTCGCAAAATTGACCTGACCTTAGGTCATCGATATCAAAATTTTGAGATATACATTTTGTACATGCTATTGCTCTTAGCCATCGCTGAAAGTTTCAAAGCGATCGGTCACTCGGTGTAGCTATGACAGACATTGAAACTTTTTATGAGGTGAGGTCACTTCAAGTGACCTGGTGACCTGACCTTGAATGACCTTGGTCTGAAATTTTCACAACATGTGTAGAATTGATATATGATAAGATGTACAAAAAACGGCGGCGCTCCGCGCCGCCGTTTTTGAGATATTCGCGAAAAACCACAAGGGGGGTGTTCAAACACCCCCCCCCCCCAGCAGGGCGCGGGTTAATTAAAAACTAGCTTGTGTCAGTGTGAAATGTATGTAGCCGATGCAATGAAATGTTTTGTTCTTGCTGAACAATTTCGTCTCCATAGAATTAGGTGGCTGGTTTATTTAAATTTATTATCGTCTAAAACGGCGGCGCACCAAGATTAGCTGAAGAGTTGTGCCGCAAATGCCTATACGCCGTGATGTTGTGACTCGTACGGCCCATTTTGCAGGTGATTTTCGCGGCGGCCACCAGCGACAGTAACCCGTACTACAGTACCATCTGGGTGGTGCTGGCCCGCCTGCTGGGCTTCTTTCTCTCCGCCTGGCTGATCGAGCGGATCGGCAGGGTGCGCCTTCTGCAGGCGTCAGCGGGGGTGCAGGTGAGGACTGGGTGTTTCAGAGGGGGTGCTGGTGAGGACTGGATGTTCCAGGGGGAGGGGTACAGGTGAGGGCTGGGCGCATCAGAGGGCTGCTGGTGAGGACTGGGTGTTTCAGAAGGGGGTGCAGGTGGGGACTGGGTGCTCCTGCTGCAGGGGTCGGCCGGGATGCAGGTTAGTATCAGCGTCAGAGAGGGGGGGGGGGTGCGGGCAGAGACTGGGTGTGTCAGCGAGGTGAAGGGATGGAACTTTGATTAGTGAAGAAAGGAGAGGAGAAATGGTTTGATCAGTTGACTTTTAGGCAGTTGAGATATGACATAAGCGCTATTATTAATCGAAGCGCCGCTCTAGTTCAATATATCATTAGGACCTTCATTTTCTAGCTTCATCAGACGGATTCATTCCCAGTCTACCAATGCAATTCAAATTGCAGGTGTCTTAGACTAAATATTCCTCTAATGTATCCATTTTAGTCTAATTTAAGGCGAAGTCCAGACTTTTGAAGATAGTGAGCACACGGTTGTTAGTCTACGTCATTATCTATCCTCCCCTCGTTGGTCAGCTGTTGGGCAGCGTGCTGGTGGGTTTCTTCTTCTACTACCGCCCCTCGCTGGCGGCGCACGGCTGGCTGGTGCTGGTCGGCGCGCTCATCATCTTCTTCACCTACGGCGTGGGCATAGCGCCGGTGACGTGGGTGTACTTCTCGGAGCTGACCGCCAGCGCGGTCCGCTCAGTCAGCCTCAACATCCTGCTCGTCTGCTTCGGACTGATGATGTTCAGGTCAGCGCAGTGTCCCACCGCCGCAGATTGGCTGTGTCTTTGATGGTGCAATTTAATTAAACGGGTCCGTCCCTGTCTCTTTTACCCCTTCTGTCTCTTGTGTACGCCTGGATAGACTATTGATAAAAAACCTTTCGCTGATGAAAGCTGTTTTTTGATTACTAGTTATTTGGAAAAAAAATGAGTTAATCTTATACTCGAAATAACATCTTGTATATAATCTAAAAAAAAGTAGCAATCGCATGCTATTCCACACGGCTCCTTACTTCAGCAGTTTAGCTGCACGTGACCACCTCATGCTCCCACTGATGATATTCACAATGAGTCCAATGACTTACTCGTACACAACCCACTGTAAACACTGTCATCAGTGCACCAAATGACTGCTGCTTGTACCACCACAGACAGGTCACCGGCAAAACGCAAGTCAGATCATCATATGAACATGACCAGTATACCCAGACGTAACACAGATCTGCCAACTGTTTCACGTCAGCTTGATGTACCCATTGACCTTTTCAATAGCATTGCAAATGTTTTGGCATTGGAAATTGCTTTGTAACTTCCCTGGCGAAACTAAAAAGCATGAATGTTTGTCGGCCAAATACCTTACCATTATTTTAGGTGGATTTACAGCATTTATAATTCGTTTCTTTTTATTATTGTCAATTGCATTTTTATTAAATTACAATATGCCACCATCCGACGTTTCCAGACCTTTAGCCCGCGCCCCGTAGGGCTACCGGCGGACCCTACCACCCGTAGGGGGGGGGGGGCCGTTTCGGCCCCCCCCTAAGATCTCGGAAAGTTACCGGCCGATTTTCAAAATTCAAACGGCGTTTGATAGCCCTACCCGGGAACTACCTTGTGACCAAATTTCATTGACCTAGGTCAAACCGATGACGTCACAGGTCAGGTCAAAGGTCAGATTTTCACCGTTCACAGGCAATTCAAGAAATGTGCTGTGAAATCGAGTAAATTGGTAATTTATTGAAAACCATCGATGGTATATTGTTCGTCAAACACATACTTTGCTATCTGAGGTCACTGATACCAGGTCAGGTCACAGCGAGGTCAGGTCACCGGGGGTCACAATATGAATGTGTCGTGTGATACATGTTTTATGGTCCATTTTACATGACAAATGCGATTATGTGGGTTAGGCAGCCTTTGGGGCCAGCCTAGGTCACGTTTTGGTGAAGGTCAGGTCAAGGTCAGGTCAAATTAGGTCAAATTTCAAAGTTGATATTTTTGCATAAAATGGGTATTCATTCGATGCAGCTTGTCACGGGGAGTCTAATGGTGGCCTTTGTTTTGCTCTACGAGTTCTAGAATTGCCAAAAATTGAGTTTGAAAATTTGACGTCATCATTTTTGAACAGTTTTTTCGCTATAACTTGGCCAAAAAACGAGGTATCGATCTGAAATTTGGTATGTAGATAGAAGACGGTAGGTACTATCACATATATTCCGGTTTTTTCGAAACTCAAAAAACTTTTTGGATTTTTTGGCTAATATATCCAAAAAAATGCTTTTTTGATTTTTGGGGATCAAAACTCAAAAATTTCAAAAATCCGAGATAGCAGTTTTGTAGCCCTGTCAATTCTACACCTTTTATGTCTTGATCATTTTTCTGTATCTTCAAAGCTGTAGGCCTGACAGGTCTTCTCGCGAAGGTCTTTTTTCGGTCGAAAATGACAGAACCTGACGTCACTCTGACGTCATTTGTGGCCAACCTATCACAGCCTCTGGAAAAATTTTTTTGTCACAATGTGTAAAATTGATGCCCGGAGGGGTCCTGAAAGTTTGGTGGCGATATCTCCAGCCGTTTAGGAGATATCGACCGAAACGGACAGGGGGGGGCCGTTTCGGCCCCCCCCCCCCTACGGGGCGCGGGTTAAGTAAAATTAACGCCTACAATGCCAGTGTATGTGTAGTCGACTACTTAGGTACAGAATGATGTTCCACTTTTCACAGGCAATTATTTGCCTGGAGTGGTAGGCTGCGCCGCATCACACGGGCTGAGTTCACAAATTATAGCTTCGTCCCAATGCTCACAATCGACTCGCTTAATTGCGTGATAAATGACACAACTTAGCGCTCCGGTCAACTGATAGCTTCTGAGGAGTGGAACATCATTCTGTAGTCGACTATACATACGTACGTCGACTATCTGAAGAAGTCGTCGAAGTCGTCGCTGTCTATTTCTCTGACGTTCTGCGTCCTTTTCCCCAGTTTCGTGCACTCGTACGTCTGGCTAGAGTCCGTGCTGGGAATACACGGCGTGTTCTGGGCGCTGTCAGTGCTGAGCGTCGTTCAGATCGTGTTCGCTCAGATCTGGCTGCCCGAGACTCGTGGACTCACCCTGGAACAGATCCAGAGCAGGTAAAACCCCAATTCTAAACCTGGACAGGTAAAATTGCCAATAGATCACCAGCACTGACACCTGGGACTCACCCTGGAACAGATCCAGAGCAGGTAAAACCCCAATACTAAACCTGGATAGGTAAAACTGCCAATAGATCACCAGCTCTTAGAACCGGGGACTCACCTTGGAACAGATCCAGAGCAGGTAAAACCCCAATACTAAACTGGGCAGGTAAAACTCCAATAGATCACCAGCTCTGAGAACTGGGGACTCACCCGAGAACATGTTGAGAGCACATAAACCTGATAACTTCTCTCTTAGACCTGGGGACTCACGCTAGAGCAGATCTAGATAACGTCTCACTCTGTTTGAATTTTGTCATCTCTTGTAAGTAAATAACGGGCTCATTGCCAATATATTTTCTTGTGAATTCGAGGGCTCATTTTGTGTGTCTTTTGCGTCCAGGTATTTTGAAGGAGCCCAGGACGAGAGTGACAGCGAGTCAGAGAAGGCACATGAGATGCAGCGCGATCCAGCTCAACAGAATGCAGTGTGAAGCATGAGGTCTGTGTAGAGGCGTCCTTTGCGTGTCATCGATCTTCGGAGGCTGCCCTTGTGCTCTGTTAGCGCTTCTCCATATACATCATATCCGCTTACTTTTAGCCTTCGCCCTGGTGGGGGGGGGGCCATTTTGGCCCCCCCCCTGTGGTTTTTCAGCGATAACTCAGAAACCACTTGAGTTAGCGCCCTGAAACTTTGTATAGCTGTTTATTCAACATTTTTACATCATGTCCTTTTTTGGAGGGTTCGGGTCAGGTCAGGTCAGGTCACAAGGTCACCAAAACTGACACCACCTCTAAAAAAGTTCAAAGCTCTCTCAAAGGCACAGCTTTTATCCGATCGATGTAAAATTTACAGTACTTGAAGATGTCACTCAGCTCTACAAAATGGCTATCTCGGATTTTTTATAAATGTGACCTAAGGTCAGGTCAGGTCATCGCTGCTCCCCATTATAAGTCAATGGGAGAATCGAAAAGTAGTTGTTTTTCAGCTAAATCGGGCGTGATTGTTCCTATATTTCGTTATTGAAGTGTCTTGGGTCAGCAAATCACAGCCCATGTGAAACCATTTGCTTGTGACCTCGCTGAGGTCACGCTAGGTCATCTCCCTGGTCACCAGAGGTCACCAGCGGTTTTTCTGCACTTACTTGTTATTGAATAGAGATAGAGACTCCGTTCGACGTTTATCGTGTTTGTCTCGTCAATGCGGATCGAATGATATGCAGCATGACCTATTTCGGTAAGGTCATGACCTTGACCTGAGGTCAAATTTTCAAAATGACCTTTCGAGGTCAAACTATATATCATTCGACGCGTCTCGACGAGCCAAGCACGATGGTGCATGAATCGTTTCTCTATTTTCTCGTGAATGCATGCTATAGTTAAAAACATTTTCAACGAAATTTGCCAAGTTGACCTTGCATGACCTCTGTAGGCCAAACCGTTGAGCTGAGGTCAAATCTTACGAACCTTGGCGAAAGAGCTTGAAAAGAGCTATCGATTGCTTTTTTCCGCGGCTCTCTAGCTCTTCTAGTTTCCGAGCTACAGCGGAATATGTCCGGCAACACCGAAAACACTGAAATTTGACCTATGATGACCTCTAGCGACCTCAATATTGACCTTAGCGAAAAAATGACCGAAATACTTTCGAACGTACTTGTTATGGGCTTTCGTTTGCTTTTTTCCGCGTCTTCCTAGCCCTCTTCGTTTTCGAGTTAGACGGGGGGGGTCATTTTGGCCCCCCCCCCACCAGGGCGAAGGTGGCTCAGACCCACACCAGGGCGCGGGTTAGTTTGTTTTAGCCTATAAGACACGTCAGTATTACCCATACCCAAAGTGGTGACACGAACGACATTGTCCACGATTAATGTGGATCACTTAGGGACCGTCTCAGAACATTTTTTTTTCGCTGGCAAAATAAGGATATAAAGGGATCCCCTGCTTATATGTGGAGATATCTATAACTTGAGTTGCCATACCGTAGCGGCAGTTTTCAGATGCAGGACGCCAGGACGCACAGGCGATCTATAGAATCTCTGCGATATCAGGCGCGAGTACGAGCTGTGTAAGCTGTGATGACCCCGCACGGTGAAACGTCTGGCTGTTCGCGGACCTTTGGTGGCTGCCTGGTGGGGGGCAGCGTCCGCTGGGTGCGGTGTATTTGTCTGTTTAGGTCACCAGTGGATGAGTGAAGTGTTGATGTTTTGGTACCGCGTGGCGAATACCTGCTGTGACCGCAAACATGACATTGTGCAACGAATAAAGGTTAAGTGAACAACGTAGCTGTTATTGGGTCTAGAAACGATTGTAAACATACACATGGCTACTTTTAGACCTTCATGTGAAGCTAGGACATTCGTCATGTCAAGAAAAATGTCCAACTCTGTAACACTTCAAAATGTATGCACCACCGTGCCCGCAATCTCCGATTCACGCCGCATGGCCACTTTTCGTGGGCTGAACCAGCTCTGCGTAGTGGTCATTGGGCTTGCAGCCTCTAGATATGCCGGCTTTCTTTCCGATGAAGCGTAGCTGCGTGCTGCATCGGGAAATGAAGTGAACAGACCAGATTGTTTTGTTCTTTTATTACAGCGAGGAGGAAGGTGTCCGTATAATATTTACAGCTCACGTGGATGGAAATTGGACGAGCAAACAAGCCCATGGACGTTGAACACAACGAATAGCAATCGATAGGTTTGACAAAGCTATTTAGCGGCTTTCTTTCTCGTAATTATTGCGGTTATATAGCTAGGAGAAAGGTTCATATCCTAGTGTCCGTATCCGGATCCCTGGCCGGATCCACCGTGTCCGCCTCCATAGCCGGATCCGCCGTGTCCACCCCCATAGCCGGATCCGCCGGATCCACCGTCAGAGGTGCACAAACCTTCCTACTTGCCTACAATGTAGGAGACAGGAAAGAGCCGAAGAGGGTAGCCGCGAGACAGATTTCAGTTTGTGTTTTCTGTACAAAAATGACTATAAAAACAGCTAACTGGTAGCAATTGGTCGGTACAATCAGCTGTCAACGGGATTTGGTCATTACATTTCTTTACGTGTCTTCAAAAACAGTTCCTACAATCTCCTCCATGAGACACCCACGAGACAGCTCCCATTGGATTAACATTGTGTCTCATGAGACACCGTGTAGGTAAAATGTAAGAAGAAAAACTGCGAAAGTGGTGGGCATGTTTCGAAAAACGGCGCACAAATTCTTTGGTCGCCTATCAGTTAAAACAAAACTCCTGTTCGAAAATGAGTTCTGTTAAGTTTCGTCAGCTGGTTTCCATAGCAACCGCCATTCGTGGGACAAGCTGACGCCATTTGCTAGCGCGTTGCGTGGTAACCAGCTATCGGTGTCAGTTGAATTTGAAAGATAATTGTAACAGTGAACAGCTCGCTTCAGTTGCTTGTACTGTGCTGTGGATGTGTGTCTTGTGCAGTGTAAGGAGTGTAAGCAAAGTGAAAGGACTTCACATTATATTTTGTGATGGTGTAGTAATATAAGGTTGTGAGCTCCAAGTGGAGTTAAGGAATTGCCAAAGAAATGAAAACTCTGCATGGGCCGGAAATCTGCAGCCTGCACTTCTAAACTCTTCATAAGAGGTTCGTGGCAGGAGGCATTTTGGGGAGCGATTATGTGGAGGTGCTGGTAAGTAGGTAGGTACCCAACCTAATTGGCTTGGTGAGAACTGAAACTGGGTATCCATGCTAAGAACTGAAAACTGGGTATCCATGCTAAAAATCGTGTGTCCTTATGTCACATATTCCTGAAGATATTAGATAAGCCAATTGATTCATTTATCTGCAGTTATATTGGAAAAAATAGTGTGACAAGCAATTGATTATTGAAGTGCCTTTCAGAAACAACTACAAAGGTGTGAAGGATGATTAACTGAATTGTGAAATTGCTTTACCTACCTATCCTATCTGATCACTTCAACTTTTTTAAGTTTCCATTCATTTTGATGATAAAGGACAACATGGAAAGATGCTAGCATGCAGGTAACTACCTATCTAGCTTTAATGTAAATAGGTAATAATTTCCTTCAAAAGAATATTGGCTCTTCAATGTACTGGAGTTTTAGTAATTGAAGGTATCTCACTTCATTTTGAACATTACCTAGGTATAACTTCTCTAAGCTGCATGACAAATTTTCAATTTCCTTGTTGTAACACCAATACCAAAAACATTCATCTGGGCACAAGGCTCACAACATCAAATTATTCATGTTTTATAGACAGGTACCTATACAGCAAAAAGGCAACAGAGATATGTGATTATTTTCAACATATGCTTTGTGTTCAGTTGTGTATGTAATAATTTTGTGGGTGGAAAATGTGTCATGAATTGTCTACAGGTCTGTGTAGAATTGTGAATGATATGATTATAGAAGAAGGTAAATGGCCAGTTAAGTAGTCAACATGTTTACTCAATATCAAGATATGATGGCATGGAGTTTGCTCATGAGTTTGCTCAAAAGCCTTTCAGTTAGTGTGGGAAGCAGCTATTTGAAGCACAAGCTTATAAAACTGATTTGTAATGGGGTTTGTGAAGTTCTCCATAAATTTCACACAGAGCAATGTACCAGTACCTAATGCATTGCATTTTTTTTTTTAATGAGGGAGACCATACTAAGTTGTCAGGTAGGCTTTGACATTGATTTCAAGATAAGACATGTAGGTGCTTTTTGCTTATAACTTGTCCTCATTCTCTGACTAAAGGAGTGGCAATACAATCTGAGTTGTTCTATTTTCCTCTTGCCTTGCCATTTTTGACATAATCCTTGCCCAGGCTATATGTAGGCATGATGAAGGTCAATCAGATGACATATTTCAAATATCACAGCCATAATTTCAGTTGAATTTGCCTAACTTTATTTAAACAATATAAGATTAGACATTGCATAGCTATAACAGGATATTTGAGCCACCACTGGCATAGAAATTAATAGATTACAAAACATTACTTAGCAAAACATTTATCAGTCATTGAGAGTGGAGGAAACACATCTAGACTTGACAACAAATTCTACCATTCATGTTGGCATAAGTAATAATTCAAATGGATACTTAGTGCATTTTTCTAAAGATTTTAAGCACTACATGAGATCCATCCAAAGGCACAGACCCAGAACAAAGGCTGTGTTATGAACAAGGACAATGCACCTTTTTTGGTATTTTAACATGTTGTTATATTCCGACATCCTAAGAAAAATAATATGGCCATCTGCCCTGCTTCATTTGATACGTATCGATGAGAAATTGGATGTTGCGGGAATGCAGTTAGCTTTCCGGCAGTTGTCTCCAGCAGCGACAAAATGGCCGCTTACTTTCTGTCAAACATTTGCTTTCATATGGCTAAGTACATTAATTTCACTCAGTCTAACTTTGTCTAGCAAATCTCCAGTTTTACCTCGGAAAAACCGGCAGCGTGTTCCACATTGGTGTCCCCGCCAGGCGAGGCATTTCCGTCGGCCGTCGATGTCCTTCGGTCATATATGATATAACCCCTCATAAAACTAGCGCGTCGAACGATCGGCAGCATGGATGGTCTCACACCATCCATGGCAGGGACCGACCTCACAGATCCGCGCAGAA